AGGTGAATATAGGAAAAGTTCTTAGTTGCACTTAAAGGTTTCTTTTCAAGCAGGACGTGGTAGTGACAAAACTGCAAATAGAATGAATTCCTGGCACAACTTCAGTGTCAAGCAAAGATGGACACACTCAAAGTGCAGGCAGGTCCACACAAATAGAAGTGAAACTTAAGGAGATTAAGGACCTGCTTGGTAGATGGTACACAATGAACTTCCATATGTAAGGAGGACAAAAAACAAACAAACCAAAAAAAAACAAACAAAAAACCAAACAGTTAAGTGGAAGAAAGATTGCAAGATGGACAAAGGTATAAATCCCCCAAATCCCATCCCAAAAAATTCAAACTCTGTGAAAAGGATTGAGACTATGAAGTGCAAGCTATGCAGATGACATCACTCCAAATATGAAAGTTATTACTAACAGACTCCAAATCCAGCAGCAAGAGCAGCACCAACGAAAACTACTGAAAGATTTCCTGTCAGTGCTTCCCCCCATGCTGTGCTGTGCACAAGACTTCTGTTAAACCTTTTTAAAACCTTTAATGAAGTTATGAAGTTGCAAACACTGAACTCTGAGGTCTATCCTTGGATAAGAGACAAAAAGATTCAAAAAGAAGGCCTAGGAAACGCTTGTAAAGCTCAGAGACTCAGTCTTTTGGCAATGTGGAATAACATCTTGTGGAAGAAGGGCAGAGATGGGAGTGGGAAGCAACATTAGGAAGAACTGGAGCTTCTTGAGCTGGTCTGTGAGAGGTAGAAAAAAGTCAAAAAGAGAATGAGTGACACAATTGCCAGAAGTGACAAAGTGCCACTTGGAGTCTGTGTCTCTTCCTCTGCCAGTTCAACCTTTCACACTTAAATTCAAAAGATTTAATTTCTTTTCATACCTCAAATAGAGTGTACCACAATAAAAAAAACAATTGGCAGTTACTCAGAGGAAAAAAAAAAAAAAGGCAAGATTATAGACATGCTATAATTTTAGACACAAATACAGACCAGGTAAGTGACAAAGTTTCAAGTATGCTAGTCACTACTTGATCAATGGAAATTTTGTCAAGAGAAGATAAATCCAGTCCTGCCAGATCCATCCTGTCACCTACTCAGTTGAGTCACCTTTGTGGTCTTGCTTTATTCACTGTACTATACAATGTCTTGGGGGATGTCTTATCTTTGTTATTATTGGTTGTTTTGTTATATTATTTTTAGACATACAAATGTGAATTATTAAAACCACTAAGCTTTACCAATTAAGGTACAATTTTCTGCAAAATATTTCTAAAGCGTGTTGGGCAAGCCAGGATAAAAGCAAAGATGATAGAAGTGCAACAACTGAAGACTCAGTAAGTGAATTTCTGAACTTAGTCCATGCTTAGACCAAAGGTCTACCCCTTGCTATCATCTGGTATGCTTGGAACTGAGAGAGGGTTCAGGACATAGCAGAACAAGCAAGCAAGCTTTATAGATACAAATCATAATTTCAAGTTAAAGAACTTGTCTTCCCAAAGACATTCTTTCTAGTGTGACAAAGAAAAACTTGACTAGGCAGGTGATTACGCCTAGGGCAAAATCTGTCCTGTAACTGTTAAAATGGTATGAGACAGAGTCGCTGGAGCTCATTCCTTCCCCACCCTTGGCAAGTCTGGACTACACAAGAACAACAACTACTACACTTGTCCAGCATTTCAAATATCAAAGTTACTACACTTGTTGCTACTCTGAAAAACAAAAACCTGATTAGACATAAACTTCAGTCTTACATGTTGTTCAGTTCACCCTGGTAAGGTCCTTGATGTTGAAATACATGCACAAATGCATAATCCAATGACAGGAACTTGTATCACTACGCTGGCAACAGGTCTTGCGAAGTGACAGATGCTTGGGATCGCTTTCAGATTTATGGAGATTGTGTGTGCCATCCTCATGCAGAGGGCAAATAATAAAACATGACCTATACTTCCAAAACGATAAAGAAATGAGGTCTTCTATGTAAAGCAGGATGGCTCACTTGGAATTGCTGTTTCACCTTCTATCTTTTGTTAGATCACTTCAGGACCAAGTTATTTCTGCTGCTCTATGCAGCAATTCCCCTGGATGGTGCTGCTGTCGATGAGCAGCAGCACTGTTCTATTTCCAACAACTTCTGCATACAGAACTCCTCACAAATATCAACACTTCCTAGTCATAAGTAGAGAAGAATGACGAGCACTAACATCAGGAACTCCCTTCCTGATGTGAAAGGATTTCTGCCCATATTGAGACCAAAAATAAAAATGCATTTTTTAATGCTTTCCAACATGAAAGACTTACAGTTAGTAGGTAAAGCCATTTAAATGCTGATATAATGTCATATTCCAAGAGCTTTAAAAATAGAATTATTCATGTTGTGGAAGAAATCTGGTAAGGATATGAATGCACAGGGATTATAGAATAGTAACATGTTAATACCTTTATTAGGAAGCACATCAACTTCAGGCACAGAAGAATGAGTTTTTAAATGGAACATTCTGGACTGTATTTTATCCATTAGTAGACTCTCATACTTACAGATTATGCAAGCCTCTCAAGTAGAAGGCTGGAAAGCTTTTCTCTGAATAAATTAATTTGGTTGGTAAGGATGTGGTCTGGGATAATAGCCTTACCTTTTTCAAATCAGAAGCATCTGGAAGCCTAAAGTTCAGATTTCGGCGCAAAATGTTCAACTACTTTTGTGCATAAATACCACAACACTTACAAGAAGAGAACAAAATATTTTAATTTAAGTATGCCCCATACCATACAACTGTATAAAATACCAACTAAGCATTCATTTGAACATTTGAAAAATAAAATAAAACCCAAACAGAAAAAGCAAGCAGCACACTGTAGTAATGATAACAGAAGGTGGAACAGGCCAGGACACAGAACCAGAAAGACAGGGAAGTTATTGTCTCATGGCCTTTGTTCACCGCTACCATCAGGAGGGGACACACTCTGTAACAATCCCAAGACTTCCACCATTTCTAGTGCCCACCTTGTTAGGCAGATGTCAGTGTACTAAAGTGATGAAAACCATATTGGTATTTAACGTTCTGTTCTTCTCAAGCGAAAAGTAGCACTGCTTTCTTCGGGTTAGTAGGAAACAGAACAGCAGCTACCTGGGTTTCTAATACAAAACTAATGCTTTGATCAGTAATCATGGAAACATGGAAAAAAGACAGAACAGGAATTATTCCAACAATTTAAAATTGAATGATGGGAAACACCATATCCAGCAGTAATTTCAGAAACACAGAGAACGAAAAATCTTGGAAAAGCTTGAAGACAATTGTGGCAAATCTACAAAATTTCTCTCCATTTAATTTATTTATGTGTTTCAGCTGATTGACTACCTTAGTAACACAACCTTACGTGCCCCAGGTCCATAAAACACAGCTTCAGCAATACACAGTGTTAGCTCTTCTTAACACTGAGTGCCACTTAGCTGTGAGACGAGACACCAAGGACCAGTGTTTGTTTCTGCTTACAGGGCATACCAGTCAAAAGAGGATCATAACTGCAAGTATTACTAAAGTTCAGTATATTCCTGCTCTCTGTGGTCACAGCGTATCAGTTTCTATTTTGCCTAGTATAATGACAGGCCTTCAATAACACTGTGTTTACCCTGCACCACAGCTTGGAATGGCTTCATTATACCTCTTACTTTTCAAAATATATATTATTTATTTATAAAACAAGGTGTGAGCCTGTCAATGTTTGCATCAAATGGCACAGAATGGACTTCTTTATGTCAATTCTAGCTACAAAACTCATTCTCAGACCAACTGTGGCAAAAGCAAACCAACAGAGAACCACCCTTTGATTTCTAAAAACATATTGAGAAGCTTCAAACATCCCCTTTCTAAATCTGTAAGTGACGTTTTCCCACAGATATCAGATACTATCGCTTAAAAAAATACTGAAACTTATTTCAAAGTGAGGGTCTCCATTTTAGAAAACAAGTAATAAAATACACCTCTATCATCTTTCTTCCTCTAAACTTGTATGTCGGGAGCAACTGTCTTTAAACACTACCATATAAAAACCCCTAAAGCTTCTCCCACATATGCCCATTACTTAAGTATGCATCATTACTTGGCATTAAGCATTTCTAAATACCAGCTTATTTTGCAAGCAACGCTAAAAAAGTTTATATTTATGGACATACAAAGCCAGCAGAAAAAGATACAAGTGTGCAGCCTGCAGAACAGCTCACATCAGGAATGAACGAGGAAAAGGCACTCCATCTCTCTTTGCTGTTCTGCACACTCTGTGCAATTTCTCAATCACTGTTAAACCTTTTCTCACAACAATGCAGGTTCACACACAGAGCAGAGTTCATGTTTCTCCATTATCAATTTCTTCACTGAAAAATTACATTGCTGTGAATATGCAACATTAGCTTTAGTCATACATTTAAAAGTACTTTTCTTCCAAACAAGAAAGTCAAAGCTACTGAACAAATGTTACCAAAGATATAAATTATTTAAACTTAAATAATTTAAAATCAACTTAAAGAACTTTTCTATTGCACATTTTTCCATTACTTTGCCAGATAAAACCCTATATAGGCATTTAAAAGGTTAAAATTTTAAAAGCACAAGTTACATAGCACCAAAATGAGGTGCTGAAAAAATTGTATGCCTGCTGGAAAATGAGTGCTAATAAAAACAAATATAAATATGTATATACACGTCTAGTAGTAAGTCTGGGATGCTGAGATAATAAATACTTTAAACAATTTCCCAGATTTCCAGAAACGTGAGAAACTATAGAAAATAATGCAAAGTTACTTTAGAAGACCAAGAATACACATGCACAAAATCTACTATAAGAAAGAGGTTTACAATTCCCATAATCATTAAAACCACCTCTGTTATCGCTATGTGCTCCACACAATGACTAACCTATTAGTTTGAGGATTTATGTAAGTCAGAACAAAGAAAGCTTTCCCCAGCTGCTTTATAATGGAACAGCCTACAGTACCCCCCCCCCAGAAAAAACACCTAGTTTGTCCTGTTAGGTCTCAAAACATTTTCTTCTGCCTATCTTTCGTTCCCAGTGATCCCAGAATACACTCATGTCATCCATCAACCCGTAGCATCAAAAATAAGGATGAAACTTCCTGTATTTTTTTTCTGAGCAAACTTGTATTGGAGTTTCTGCTACTATGACTGCTGCTGTTGCCACAAACCTGTGACCTGCTGTTTCCACAGTAAACATTTCCGTTGCATATGTCTGCTTGTTACCCTTGGAAAAACAACAGCAGCTCAACTTAAATGGGTAGGAGTATAATCTGGCCTTCTGGTCTGAATAATTCTTGGTTTGGGTTTCTTTGTTTCTTCCTCCACATCGTTTTCCTGGTCACTCTCACATACGTGGACGACAACACTGGGAGTTGTGTCAGTTGCAGCATGTAGCTCATACTTTTCTCCTGAAAGTTAAAATATTAGCAAAAATGGTTAAAAAGAATCCTTTCTGTAGAAAAGTAGAAAAGAAATTCCTAAAAAAAAAGGAACACGCAACAATAAGCCTGATGGCACAACGCATTAGCTGGTGCGAGCAGATGCGCTGCTGACAGCCACGTTTACTGTCCATAAGTGTTTAGGTTTGGTTTCCAAAGCAGCAGAGCTCAGCTGCTCTCTTAAAGGCAAGTTTATGTAAGTTACCCTAGGCACTCAAGAAAGCATTCTACATGAGCAGTCTCAGGTCTTCTTTGTGGGTTTCTATAATTTTAAAACATAGAAGATGATCTACCCACGGTACCACATCCAGGAAGACTTTGTTTTTCTGAATGACAGCAAAACCACAGGATCTTCCTTCCCCCAAAAGCTTTGTTGTTAAAACAGCTGGATGCTGTTCTTTCTATCTCGCACAGAGGTGCTCTAACACCACTCTGGCATTCTGTGTAGCAGCAGCGCTGTTATGCAGCAGGCTTCATGAATATATAATGTCAAACGCTCAGCTATAATACAGCCTGTGTGCAGAAGTGCCAAGAGACACATTTTATTGACTGTTGATATGAAATCTGTTTTTTCCATAATATAAAGAATTGCTTTCAGCTCTAACCAGGATTTACATGATTTTAACCTTACGCTAGATCAGGAAAAGAGCAAACTACTTCTTTTCACCGCTTCCCTGAACAGCTCCCCTTAAATTTTTTTCTTGTAACATTATACTCATTACCTCTCAGTGCAGAGAACAGTCTCCATCAAGACTACTACAGTGATCTGCACATGAGAAGTTCAAAAGAAGCAGCACACTCTAGTGTGACAAGGCTCTGAAGTGGTCCCTGCTGTTTGCCCAAGAACTTTAGGAAGGGGAATGGCCACAAAGACCAGTTCCATAGAGGAAAAGGCTCTTGCCTTCAGTTCTTCAGAAGCACGCAAGCCATTGTGCCAGAGTAACTTGCTCCTTGGTACCAAGTCATTAACTCTGTGCTCCAACATCACAGTCAAGCGGTCAAGCTTCAAAGGGCTCAATATTCACAATATACGTGAAAAATCTCAAGGGAAAAGGAATCACAGGTCTGCCAATGGGCCTGCTGTAGGGCACCTCAATAACAGAGCTTTCAGGGGAAATGAGGCAAGCTTTTACTGCTTAGTAAGCCCTTAGGTATTTCTTTTAAGACCTATAGATTTCTTTCTGGCATTGCTAAAATTTGAAGGAAGAGCCTGTAGTAAAAAAGAAAGCTTGTAGCACCCATGGAGCAAGCTCAGAAGTTCAATAAAATTAGTAAACTGTAACATTACTTATTTATTCATTCTGTATGTTTCATTGAAAACAACTTTTATTCTGATAAACACAGTCTTACAGGACTTCTGTTTCAAAAACTGATTTCATGAAAATAAAATCTTTGTTGAAAACATTTAATATGTCAGCAGTATTCTTGATGGACTGTTTTAAAGACCTATGTGCAGGCTCATCTGATTCATTTACATGTTTCAGCATAAACAAAATTTTTTGTGGCAACATTTTATACTCCCATTTCTAAATGTAGTGTCTTTCCTATAAATGTTCTTGCCATGATAATTCACACACCATTTAAAAGATAACTATTCAATTTAATAAATATTGGTATTTAATAAAACTTGGAAATAATCTACCCCATTTTTTACATCAGCATAAGCATGAAATTTTTGTCCCTCCACAAACTGCAAAGGGCTGAATTTTCCCACCAGGTAAGAATAATTCCCTAGTGGTTTGAGAGATGCATATGACTTTCACTAGAAACTTTGGATACCACCAGTATACAGTCAGCCATAAACTCCTACACAGACAGCTGAAGCATGAGGAGCTGAAAGTTCTGCCCTACCCTCTTCTCCACCCCTTACTACTGACATAAGATGTATTCCCTAAGCTGGTAGGTAAACAGGTACATAAAAATACTACAGTAAAATGATCCAGACTACAATTTTTATTGTCTTTCACACTGGTACTAAATTGTGACCATTTTTTCTCTCCTAAACCTAGTAGTACAGTTGCAAACAAATTAAATCAGAGCTGTTGATTTGGGGAAACAGTTTACACCAATTCTCATTAAAGGTTGTCTTAAATTAGGTATAAAATGACATCAAGGAATGTGATCATTAATCACTGAAAAGCAGAACCGTGTTTAAAATAAGAGTTCAGTACAGAGTTTAGTGGAACTTTATACCTCTTTCTCAAAGTAGAGTTTTATTTTAACACACAAACAGCAGCTAGAACTGTTTCTCCTATCTGTAGTCCTATCTACTTTTAATAAATAGACCTATGAACAGTCTATACAGCATGGTTAGCTGAAATCAAAACCAACTTATGGGATAGCACTAGAAATTATGGGTAGGTGTACATTCTTAGTATCTCTTTTCATTTGGACAGTGGGGAGAAAAAAAGAGGAACCTGATACAAACTTTTATGCTTTCCAGGATGAAGCCATCTCAAAGTTTGCAATAAATTAATAAATTGCAGCAGATAAAAATTAGAAGGAACAAGGAATGGCAGAACTTGACTCTGAAAGAAAATTATTTATTACTGATCATTTCCCTCCTCCACCCAGTATTATCTCAGATGGAGAGGTAATTCTAGCAGAGCTACACAGGTATTACCTGGTTCATTATCTTAATCTGAACAGGACTTCCTCATCCCTTCAGAAGGTATGTAGCTACACAAATGCCTCTTCATTTTTAGGAAGCTGTTTCTTGAAAATTCTGATGAACAAGCTAATACATTATTGAAGCAACATTCATGCTCTCTACAACTCACAAAGCAGATCACATTGTGAAGGTCTGGGCCCTCCAACTGATCCTGTGGAATTACTTTGTGTGTAAGAAACTACCATTTACTAATACCTTTTTTTGATATTACAGATTTACTTGGTAGACAGGAAGTAATTTGAAAACTTCTACAACTTCAGAAAGTTTAAAAGACGTTTTACTCAAGAAAATTCTAGTGGTTTTACTCCTTCTTACCTGGTCCTAACTTGGAGATAGCATATAAAAGGTCATAGTTAATGACTGGAGTAGCATCTTCTACTTGCTTCCAATCAACAGGTGGAGAGGCAGGGGGTGAAATCAAAAACTGTTTGTCTGGATTTGGTGGTGCCAAATGTGAGCTTCCAATGTGCAAAGTCTGAAAAAAGCATAAAAGCCAAAGCTGTTACATTGTTATCAATGAATCCAGCCTTCGTGAGCAATTTTGCTTGGGCCGATGTTATGCTGTAACAGGCACTCAAGGTGGCAGCATGTAACTATATTATTGAAGAGAGCTGTATGAAAGACCCAGTATACAAAATACAGACAAGCCACCACACAGATTAACTCTGATGACACATGCAATGAAGTATGCACATCTGCATCTTCCCATTATGGAGTTTAAAAAAATTTCACCAGAATATCTGTCCTTAAAAAAGTGAAGTAGGAGGAAGCTGGATATGGGCTTTAAGGCCTAATGACAAATGGTGTTGAAACTCATTACCACAAGTGAGAGTGGTGAGAATTCTAGAAGGTATATAAATAAACTGGCTCCTTCAGGACTGTCCCTAGGGACATCTGAAACAGACACACACAGATTAATTTTCCCATTAAATTTACGGAGGAAAATACACAGCAGCTATCAAAAAGCACCCAGATTACCAGAACCTGAGAGTTTCACATCTTTAGCAGCAGATGCTAGCCAGCTATAGAGCTGCACTGACGGTGATCTCCATGAAGAAATGTGTGCTGAACAATGTACAGTAGTGAGAGCAGCATCAACAGGTAAGAGTCCTGGATGTGCAGCTCTACGCTTTTGATTCCCTCAGATACTGAGTGCGTGCGTGTGCGCGTGTAGAGCACACTTGGCTTCCCTCACCCCATTGAACTCTACCTCTTTGACTCTGCTGATGAGTATCACTTACTCCCTCTCCCCAAGGTTATCAATGCAATACAGAGAGAGATGTCAATGTGAAATGTGCAACAGCCTCCAAATACTTGTAGCTTTGGAATAACCTGTGATTCTCTGATCAAACTGATAAAATTAACCAGGTTCATTAGTACAACTGAAGACGCGTGGAAGCTTATCACAAGTACATTATGCTTTAATACCTTGCAAGGATAACCCACAAAAGACTTACCTGAGCAAAATACAGTTTTATTTCTTTTCCAAGGAACTCTGTCTTGTGCAACTGTATTCTAGCATCTGCTGCAGATAAAGGGTTACTGAAATTTATTCGTACTCTTTTGAAGCTCTTAAAATACTGAAAGGTGATATCTCTGTCGTATGTTCTAAACAGTGATTCAAATTTGGCCTGAAAATAAAGGGCAAGAGAAGAAAGTGAATAGGCAACACCAAATTTTCTACACAGAAAAACTGAAATAAATTGCCAGTTACTAGTAGGGGGACATACTACCACTTTTGAATATTGATGTATTTGAAACAGCTTAGACTCGGTTCTTGTTTTTTTCTATTATAATGAATTTTCTCTATAACATCTTTTTTCTTCCTTACTAAAAAATAGATTAATATCATTCATAAGCGTGGGACACGATACTTTACTAAATCAGATTTAGTGACATAATAGAAATATTACTATTGGTAAGATGTTGAAGATAAATACTTGTCTTATAAAATTAATATCCAAAGGCCTTCAAAAGTCTGCTATGCATGCCTTTGTCTAAGTGAGCAATTTTGAAGGAAACCAACACAAAAGGTTCAACAGAGAAAAATGAAAACAGCATATTTGCAAGCTAAATGTGATTTTCCCCAGTGACTCAGCATGCATAATAAAGTTCATGCATGTCTCTTGTTTTAATAGCTGCTACTTTCATTTAGGAAAATGAAAGTATTATTACTGACCTCTAGTTTAATAGCCTCTTCTATTTCTGGAACCAAATTCTAAAAAGGCTCCCACTGTCTTCCCTAAAAAATCTTAAGTACTAACCATACAGCTCCTGAGGGGCCTTTGACACACTTTGGTTTGACTGTGTGGTAAGAGTAGGAACTGGACCACAACCTTATACCTTCATAGGTCTGCATCTGAGTTACTTTGCTGTCCTATCTGTGCAAAAAGACTGAAGCACCTTTACCAACAGCTGGCTATCGTCATTTTACACTTCAGGTTTGTGCTCCCAAGGCATCTGTGCAAACCTGACTTGGCTGCTTTTCGTATCATTGATACGAAGAGTGCTTCCACTCTTACTTCAGGATGCCAGACCAAAGCAGGAGAAAGAAGCAGGAGGTTCTGAAGCTGCCATGCTCTTGCAAAGTGTTTCAGGCTGGCATTCAGAACACAGGAACTGGTCACATGCCTTATTTCAGCAATGGCAATAGATCAAGTATTCAGCTATTTTCAGATATTTTCTCTTCATAAAAACTTACTAGAAGTTCAATACAAAGCCAAAATAAACAAGTATGTAAAATCACATTGCCTCATTTTTATTACTGACACATTTTAAGTTAGTAGAAAAAAAGTAACAAATACTACATAAGAAGGCAATAATTACTTTAACATTACATTTTCCTTCCTGAAGAGCTCTGCTTCACAAACTCACCACATCTGTGTATAGAACCACTACATATCAAAGATATTTTAAAATCAGAGCTGTCCTGCTTCTTGCTGAACCACACTGAAGCTTCTTCAAAGTGATCTCTGAAACAAGACCAGGGCCCTCCACACACAAAGCTTTTATTTGTTAAAGTCTCTTGTACTCCAGAGAGAGCTGAATGCAATCATGAATAGTAAGCCGGATCCACGCTAAATTACATTTCAAAGTTCACATTCTACATTTACTCAGGGAGTACCTGCAAGATTTGTGCAATCTATATACATTCTTAAAATGTGTGTGATTACAGAAGTCATAAATGTCATGCTATCAATACAGTACTAAACAAAATGTTATTTTTGTCCATAAGGTATATTAGCAGTCAACAATCCACTCTATCAGGACTGGATTACTTACATTATGTTAATTCTAATTAGCTAAATATAAATCAAAGGGGACTTCTTATAGTTTTAAGATTATGTTCTTAACTACATTGCTAGGAAAAAAAAAAAAAAAAACGAAACACCACAAAATAACCCATGAAAAGTATAAAGGGTACTATAAATCATGTTAATCTTACTACCAAAATTATAGTCTAAACATTTGCCAAAAACACATATGCAAGTGAAATAATACACTACACAGACAGGCAAAGAAGTCTGGAGGTAAACTTCTGAACATTTTCAAAAACACATAGCTTAAGCTTTAATAATTTTCAGAGTTAGACTAATCTGCCTCAGAGCATACAGTTGCAGACTTGGAAGACCCAAGACCCTTACCTCAAACTGAAACTGACTTACAAGTCAAAAAGCTATCAAAGCATCTGTGTTCTAAAAAATTTTAAACAGCAACCTACATACTTCAGTATTCCAGCAGCTCATAAGAAATAAAACGTGAAAGGTAAAGCATACCCTTGTTTCTGCTTGATTGAAGACATCACTATCTGCCACACAGGCGATCAGAGAACTAAAACTGTAGTTAAAATTTCTGAAATGCATTTTGTGCTTTGCCAAAGCAATACTCACTGTTCCCCAGAAACCAATGACTTTTAAGGAAGCCGTTGGTCCTGCAGGCAGCGTTTATAAAGGAAACAAGTCCAGCCCCTTAGACAAAAAAAAAAAAAAAAAAGTCTCAGAGCATCCTGTATGTGACAGCGAATTCCTGAACAAAGTCCTGCATGCTTTGAGGCACTCAGGAACAAAATGTAAGCTGGGACTGGAAAGAGGTGACGTCAGCACATTAGTCAGCTTCCCTATGCTAATTACCAGTGCTCGGGAGGATGGAAAAAACAGCTGAGGTTTGCACAGCAGCTGCTTTATCAAGCCTCTTGCAGCATAGTTTCCACTGGTAGTAATTCCATTCAGCGCTCAGACAACATGCTCTTCACTGGAATGGGACAACCCATCTTAAGATGGAAAATGTTACTGCTAAAGGACCAAAGTCTAGAGTAATAGGCTGTAATTAGCCAGGAGGAAAATTTCAAGACTTCTGAATGGAAAACAAATCCCTCAGGTCAATAGCTTTTGGTAATTCTGTGGAAAAAATACTCGGACTGAAGTTGAAAGATTAAGAGGAATTGATGTGGGAAAATACTTTTTTCCCCATTACAGTGAGAATTCATCTTGAAGCTTTCTTCAAAGCAACTATATGGATTCATTACCATTCTTCACTTTATTAAAAAACTCATTCCGAGCCTCAAACTGTTGAGGAATTTTGTTTTTAGGATAGCTGGCGGTTGGTTGGGGGCTTTTTTTTTTTTTTAAATTTGCTTTAACAGGAGCTTCATCAAGATCTACTGGTAGGATTTTAAGAGAAAACCTATCTATCGATGGCAGTGATGAGGTATGAAACATTTCTGACATTTTCTGATTTATTTGTATTCCAGTTTCAGGATGTTTCCCAAAAGTAGTACAGGTCATGGGTTTTTAAGCATTTCTTTGTTTGTTTTTGTTTGTTTGTTTTGTTTTAGGGTTGTTTTGTTTGGTTGGTTTAGGGGTGGCGCTTTTTTTCTTGTGTGGTGGGATTTTTTTTTGCTTTTTTAAAAATCAAGAACCATTAAAAAAAATTATCAATATTTAAAGTAATTCACTGAGTTTAAGCTGAAGCTTTTACAAGCTATTTGGAACTTTCCTATGCAACTTCACATCAAAATTTATAATGAAGTCCGAATCAGAAGTGCATTTGTATCATTTTAGTATAACATGGGGGTAAAACAGAAGCATCAAGTTTTATGAAACACTTGGAAACTATTAATAGACAATCATAAGCTAAAACCTTATTTCATAAATATTTAGTCATGCACAACTATTCACATGAACAGCCTTCTCTATTTCCATGGGCTGTACTTGCTTAAAGTTAAGGATGCTTATTGTGCCACAGGCTAAAATCCCTATTTAGTAGTCAAACTCTCTATTGTAAAGTTACTTTAGCGTGAAAGTTACCTTAGTGTGAAAGACTACTCAGAACAACCTCCTAGCACTTCTCCTTAGAAGCCCTCACTTAAAAATAAGTGCAGCTCAGGAAAAGAGAAGGTGCTCTGAAGGACAACTTAAAAACTGGTGTAGGTGCTGTCAGCAAAACTAAACTCAACTCCAAAAGAAAGCAAGAGGTAACAAGCCTCCGGTGCTCCAGGAGCACCTAACGTACTAGGTGCCTGAAGGATGGAGAGGCAGGAAGAAACAGCAGCTCCCTGCCTCACCCTGAGCTCCCAGGAAGATGGGACACAGTGGCTCTCCAGCCACCCAGCTCTACCAAGATCAGGACTGGGCACACACAGTGAGAACAGGTTTGTGTTCCCAGGCTCACAACCTGTACCCAGAAACACAACTACTTAAGAGGATTCATAAACAGCCACCATGCCAAGCAGTGAACCACCTGAGCTCACACGGAAAATCATGCCGAGTATGTCCTGAATCCTGCCCCTGCCCTGGAATTAGGTCTTCTAGTGTCTTGAAAGACTTCCGAAGTGGAAGCACCAAGCATGACTTCACAGACCAGTGGTCAGAATGCTCACCTGGAAAATATGGCCGTGAATCAGCTGAGCATAAAGGGAAAACAGGCTTTCTACATCCCAGGTGAATGCTATAGCTACTGATAAGAAAGTAAAGAAGGTCCTCCCTTTTAACCTGCCACCAACTCATTTGGCATACTCTGATGCTACTGAGGTGCCTGCAGCCCCTCTGAAGGTGACAGGCAGAGTGAATATTTCTCTTGTACAGCCTCATAAGGGCCTATATCGGAGGCAGTTTGAGCTTCTCAACAGGACAAAACCTTTGGCAACCTAGCTGCAGACCTTTATAGAGCTAAGCGTGTCAAAGCTTCCTACCAGTCCAGTGATTGTAGAAGTCTTCAAAAGCCCTATTTTGGACTTCACAGCTTAAAGTAGGACAGGTAGATAGATCCTAGGCACTTGCATCCCTTTGTAAGTCTAGACTTAGCCTTTTATGCCCAGATCCCATGAAGAGCAAGACATCAACAACACCTCTTATTGCTGTGCTCAAGGCCACCTACACATTACTGAGACCCAAGGAAAATGACTTTTCAAGTCCTACTATAGCCACCTTTCAAATATAGCTGTTATTTAACACAGGACTATAGCCTGCTGTATTACTGTGTTACCTGTAAACAAACCAGCTACTTCTGAGAACATTTAACACCTCACAATTTTTTTTTTTTTTTTTTTTTTTTTTACAGTATTCTCCAGGTATAAAATAGTTTTCTACTGATACATATTAGGTTTTTTTTTTTTTTGCTTTGCTTGCTTAAAAAGGAAAGAAACAAAATGGAACAGACTGGGTCTGGTTTCATCATTATCATAGTTATTTTTTTGTAAGGTTGTATCACTAGTCACTCTTAATGAAACAATTCAGACAAAAAAAATACAGTTGCATACTAACAGTATTCATAACAGAATAAACTGAGAAGTGGTTTTCTGAGGGGGGGGGAAAAATCACTTTTGAAGTGGTCTAATATGCTATGCTTGATAAGAACAAAAATGGAATCTACAATGCATCAATTAGTGGATTAAATAAACTGCCTTGAATTCTGAAAAACAAACAAAAAACCAGAAGGGCTTACTTTCTCAAAAGGAAAGAAAACACCAACCTCACTACCCCTGCTTCATTTAATGAAGTGCTATTTAAGACAGCAGAATTACGTTTAGAGCCCTGAGATCTATCTACTATAGAAACCAAGAGTCAAAGTTACAAAACCACCATTGCAAAATCCTGACAGTATTGCAATGTTTGTTCTATGGCGTTCAGGTCCTTAACATTCGTTAACAACATGCTAACAAACTGCCTGGAACAAGAACAGAGCAAGATTATCAGAACTTAGGGATTTGATGTTCTGATACTATCAGAGTGCAGTTTTTCTTCTCCTTTGTCTTCAGAGAGTTTCCTGCTTTCTGTCTTCTTTGAGACTCCCTAGTGACCTACATAAAAAGAATGCAGGCAAGGAGATGACCTGCAAAAAGATACATGCTGTCATCCAGATACCAAATAATGTCTGATACTAAAGGACACAAACTTCTTCAGTACAATGGGATGCTGCTGTATTCTGGGCAATAAGAATCAGGAAAACCATATGGCTAAGAATAATACGGCATGGCAACATGGTCAGCCCTGCTTTCTCAGGCTTCACCTTTCCCTTGAAAGGTACAGATTCTGGCGCTCAAGTTTTAGAAGTTGAGTTCTAAAAACTGCAGAGAATATGCTCAATGAAGACCTAAGTACTCCCTACCACCAATAGCTCCTGACAAACCCTCCACTAGTAGCACTTCCCAGGTGAAGAAATTTAACACAGACCATATTTGATTACTTCTGGGGGTGAAAAAAGAAACAAGGGAAGTCAAATAAGTATCTGGAATACTGTGAACACTAAATGACTGAGCGCAATGAATAGTTCTATAATCTGACCTCCACATGCAGTAGAATAGGAAAGGCACTGAGGAGGAGGAAATAATACCACACAAGTAGGGAACAAAAGACAATTCACAAAAATGACTCTGTAAATAGCTACATTAGCAAAGGTAACAATCTGAGGAAGAAAATTAATATGAAAATAAATGTGCTGATAATTCTTTAAGCTAATAAAATGATCACCTATAAGCTATAAATCAGAACAATATAGTCCATTATTTTTTCTCACTGCTGCCAAACTTGATTGCCCGTGGAGGGTGCTCTTTAGGTAATCCCTGTACTCCCACTACATATACTTGCTGATCTTTTGCTATCAACATATAGTTTCTATTCCTGTCTTCAAATTAATTATCTTGCCTTAGCCCTTCCTAATAACAGGGATAAACATCTTAAAGTTATCTAAACTGAATAATCATACTTATTGGTTTCATTTTCCTGGTGGTTTGGAAAGGGGAGGGAGGGGCAGGCAGTAAAGTACAAACAGCTTCCAGAGCCATCCATGCATGCCTGGGGTCAGTAAGCTCTGCTCTCTGTGCACTAGCATGCCCCTGAATTCAGGTGACCTTCTAACCTGCACCGTTCCATCAGCACAGCAGCAGGGGGGCTACGTGTCTGCATGGGATGGGCATGCCCAAGGAGAAAATGGGAAAAGCTAATAAATGTTCCTTTCTAGAACTGAACACTTCTAGCTGAAGCTAGGCTCAGCAGACATCCAGCTGAAGAAAGGAAAGATCCCCAGGACTCAGACCCACTGAAAAAGTAAGGAAGTTCAACGTATGAAAGGTTAATGAGCACATGTCCTTGACTCTGTTTTGCTCTACAGCCTTGAAGGGTGCTTTGCAAACTAACTCTGCCATCAGGAAACGGTAACATTCTCCATCACTGGAAAATTCCCTGCCCTTAGGATTCGAGAATTGGGTGGGTTTTATGTGGAGGTTTGTGTTGTACTTTTCAAAACAAAACAAATCCCACAACAGAAATCACATCAATGTCAGCAAGTTAAGGCACTTGCCTTAAGATGTCTGCACAGTTCTTAGTCTCATTTTACTAGCCAAAAATGAATCAACACCTCCTCCCCCAGCAAAAAATTTCCCCACCAGAAT